GGCAAAGCCGCATTCCTATAAAGGTTCCTCCCCGCCACCCCTTGACAGAAGAATTTAGGTTGGCAGGGATCTCTGGAGGTTGTCTGGCCCAAAGTCCTGCTCAAAGCAGGACCAGCTCTGAAGTCAGATCAGTTCACTCTGGGCTTTTTACAGTACAACTCTGGATACCTCCAGGGACCCCAGGGCTCTGTGTCTATTGTTCGACCACTCCCAGCGTGAATTCCCTTTCAAACTCCCACCAGACTCAGCTGGAATTTCCCTTGCTCAAACTTGGGCCTGCTGCCTCTGATCCTTTCCATATGCATCTCACAATAATCTGGCTCTGCCTTTTCTGTAGGTCCTCGTTAAGGGTTAAAGATGGCAATTACACCCAACACTCCCCCACGCCTCTTCCTCTTCAGGCTGGAAAAACCCAGCTTCCCTTCTCTCTCCTACATTCCAGGTCCCAAACCATGCCAGGTGCTCTCCTTTGGACCAGCTTTAGTTTGTAAGGGCTTCCATCTCATGCTGGGGAACCCCCAAAATGGACACAATTCTCCAGACGTTGTCTGACAAATGCTGAATGGAAGGGAACGAATCTCTCCTTGGCTTCCTGGCTGTGTTTTACTAATGCAACATATCAGCAAAATAGCAAAAGGCACAGAAAAATGTTCCTCAGCAGGCACAAAGCTGATCCACTCAGTTTCTCACCACTGCCCTGACAACAGCAAAAGCAAAGCCGGTGGTTCTTTTCTGCTGAACACCGGCCATCGGCAACACAGTTATATAGCGACAGGTCCAATTGCACGATCATCTAAATCAAAGAGCAAGCTACAGGATGAATACGTTCCATAAGAGTAAAGGAAGTGGAAATCCACACATTACTCAGTGTGCTCTGTGCACAAGCTGCCTCCTCACAGCAAAGAGGAGCCTGACAAGGCTTCCTCCATCATCACGGGACTCAAATTTGCCACTCAAGCTGTTCTGAAATCCAACCTTGCACACCAATACTCTAACCAATACATTTAGTCCATTTTGTTTCAGCAAATAGAAGTTACAAAGATGTGGAACAACGACTGTTTCCTGGAACAGTGAGAAAGTTGCTCTGTAAATGTATTAAACATGATTCAAAACAAATTATTTAGAGACTTTTCAGTTTATAAAATGAGTATGGTAAACAGAACTCTCTGTTAATTCCCACAGTCTTGAAGCACATGGCCAGTGGTCAATAAACAACGGCAGGTATGCTAATCAGTTTTACTCATTAGGGATGCAAGTAATAAACCCAAGCTGAACATTTAAGTTTAACTTCTAGCTTTGTATTGGTACTGTTAAACAGTAAAACAGGAAGAAAAAAAAAATCCCACAACTGCTTCAGTTAAGCCTGGAAATTAGTGGAATTACGTGTGTACTTCTCCCAAAGGGAAGCTTAAAGTCTCCCAATTGAACTTCTTACAGAACAATGACTAAATAAATAAGTTTACCTGGAGATAGAAGTTTCCCATTTCCGCTAATAGGTCTAAGACAGCTGTCATTTGCTGTACCAAAAAGGGCAGGAGAGATAGATAATTAATTCAAATAATCTCAAAGAAATTTGGCTCAGAAGTTTAGACAGAGAACATATTTAAGATTAACGGCAAAACCAGCTTTATCTTAGAGGCCTCCTCTGGGGGTACTACATCAAAAGTACAATTACAGAAAGATTCCTAAAGACTTTGTTTTCAGTTTTACCCTTTTACTGAAAGATTACTTTCTCTTTGAAGCTAGCTGTTAACCACACCAGCAAAATACCGGCTAAGTGCTTCCAAAGGTAAAGGTATCAACAAAAGCTTTAAAGAAAGAAAACTGGAGTGTCTTAAAGAAAGGAGTAAGTTTAAAAAAGAATCTTCAATTCTTAGTGTAATAGTTTAGTAAGACAACATGATTATTCCTACACAAACAGCTTCGAAAAATGTATTTTAATCAAAATTTACACTGATTTTTTTTTTAGGCTAGAAAAGTAATAATTTTTTTCAGAATTAGATGAAATTTTAAGTCCTTTGCACCCTCTTTCTTCCAACAGAAAAAAAACCTCCTAACAGCAATGGATTTGCTGTTTTGAGTAGACTGATGCAAAAAGCAGAAAGCTAGCCGGTAAATTCTAACATCAGACCTAAGAGTAAAGCAACGGAACGCTTACCTAGTTCCTCCTCTAGCTGAAGCTCCCGTATTGCTTTCCTTTTGATATCTGACATCACCTAAAAGAAAGCAATATTAACACCTCTAGTACAGAATGCCAGTCCACCAAAGCAGCCTACACTTGAAATGCATCCCAATTATGTTCTTACTCCTGTTAACACTACACACAGCTGAGAAAACATCTCCAACATTATCTTACCAAATATATATAATAAACGTACTGATATCGTATCATATTTGTGGAAATTCTCCTTAAAAACAGTATTCCAAAGAAAAGAAGATGGCATTTAATTTTGGGGATTTATCAAAAGACTAATATTTCACAAACAGTAATTTTGTGAGCAAAACTAAGTAGTTCTTCTTATGTGCTGTAGCAGGGAAGAATTTAAAAGGCAGAAAAGTGACAAGAGAAGCCCACTGCTTGGGGAAAAGCAGCATTTTTTTCCCTATCCTATGCTGAAGGCAAGAAATAATACCTTCCTCCTCTTTAGCTTTTGTTTACCAACATAGCCTCACCAAACATACATTTACAGATGGTCCAAAAAGCAAATTGTTTCGCACCAAAGTAGACGGCACTGGTTTAAGTTACCAGCATTACCGTCTTATTACGCAGCAGTCAAAGCATCCCAGTAACGGTAACTCCAAGCTGCACGCTATTTTCATCACAGAAAAACTTCAGCCCTGAGGCCAAATCCACTCCTCATTAACTGGCCCAAGTGCACTGGCCAAGATTTTGAGGGAAACTTATACCCCCAAACAATCAGACTCCTTACCGTTTCAATCGTGGCAGTAATTTTAATGTGTTTCTCGTCTCCATCCGTTCTGCAGAAGTTTTTCACTTGGAGCCAGCTGATGTCATATGTAAAAGCAGTCAGATTGCCACTTGACACATTCACAAAGCTGTAAAAAACGAGCAGCGCAAAGACGGTCAAAACCAGGAAAACTGCACGTTGTCTGGGTTAGATCCCTACTGCCCAAAGCTCTGAAAGAAACCGGTAACACCTGGGTCGTTAATAGCAACGGCATGGCACAGAGTAAGAGTCAGAGGCCTCGGGGAGCATCCAGGCACCTCTGAAATATGTTTTGGTAACTGGCCTTCAATGGGGCTTGCATTTCTGAAACCACTTCAGAGTCTAAGTCACTTTCTGAGGCTGGATTTAAGGCTTCTGGAAAAAAATACTGTAAAAGCATACCTAGTCATAACCAAAATATGACATTTTCTCTGTGTCTCTGCTACTGTATATAAACACAGAAACACTTCTTGGTGAAGAACCCTCTCGCTGCTTGATTTAATCTCAATTTTTCAGTACTCTTTCAACTAGGAAGTCAGAATTTGTGTCACAAGTACGTATACACGTGTCTGAAAATAGGAACCTAACCTCAGGGCTACACACTGGGAAGCGAAACGAGACCAGAAATTTGCCCCTGGCAACTTTAGATTCAACTGGGAGATTCAGCACAGCTGCATTTTCTTCTGATACTGCTCTGTTCTCTCATCCCGCCAAGTCCCTCGGAGAACCACGCAGAACTCAAACCTCAGGGATTCAGGATATGCTAAAGATGTGCCAGCACACTGGGCACAAGCTGTTCTCGCTAGGTTTTTCCCTTTACCAGTGCAAGTCAAAGGATGCAACTGCATCCGCACGTCAAGAGCAAAGTAATATCTAATTGTTCGTAAGTATCTGATCCCCAAAATTAAAGATTATGTTACCTTGAATTAAAAAGCTTAAAGTGACAGTTAGTTAAAAAAAAGTGCATGTGTATACATATAGATAACATAATTTTAACTAAACAGATTTTGCCAAAATTGCTTTTTTGTTTTGGTTAAACTTGTTATCAAAATGGTTACCTCTGGTCATGGCTGTCTAAGATTAGTACTGAGCACCCATCCGTCAGACCAACGCTTTTGACTGTTTCCTTCATATCTTCTTCACGAAAAACTTCCCAGTTCTTGGCTTCTTTATCTAGTCCTGAGCCATTCTTTAGAATGATTCCTCCTGACGGCGCTAAGGCTGTGTGCAGATCAGCCACTTTCGTGCTGCATGAAAAGACGTGCTGTGATTCTGTGAAATGCTGACCCTTCCCTCCTTCGTTATATTCTGCTAAACGAAGAACATTTATGACCACAGGTTCGTGATCGGGGCCTGTCATCACTTTTGTACCACCAACCTGAAGGAAAGAATGCAAGATTTATGCAGTGATGATCAATAAAACACAGAAAAGACTGGACGGCAATGAATGACAACAATAAAATTATCAAGACAAAAAGATGGACCCTCTCTCCTTGTTAGAAATAAACCACCTTTGACCAAATGCCTACTGAACAAATAATTAGAGTAACTCCAAGGTGTTGGGAAGAGAAAACATAACTCTGAGGTCTGTCCCGCGTCTCCACATATAGTAAATATATCAGTTAACAGCAGCTGGGAAACCAGCGAACACTTTGTCTCCATCAGATTAAGAACAGAGGAACTGAGCCCCTCAGGATATTAAAGAACTACCCAAAAGTGTGACTGAGGCAGATCAAAAGAGTTAGATTTTAAAAATCTGGCCTTTCTGATATTCATGCTAGGCAAAGAACATAGTTCCGTGAACTAGGCAATTTAATCACACAGGAAACCGGAGTAGTGAAGACCATACCAAAAATAAAACCAAGACAAGAACAACTCTGTTACTAGCTGTTTTCTTTTGGTTTTGTGGGGGTTTTTTTGATAAATCGGAAAGAAAATGCATATTTTTACAACAAAAAAATCTTTTAAGAAGTAAAAGATTATTCCATTACAGAGATGGAATAAAATGCTGTGCTACGTAACCACTGAGGCAAGCATCTCAAAGTTAAGCAGAAGTCTTAATATTAAAAGGAAAGTGCAACACTAGAAAAACAGCACAGTATTTCAGGGTGACCATACACAAATGTAGTCATTGACAGGTCTAATTTTGTATGTGGAATGATTTGCTACAGGACAGAAGGTTTTGTTATCGCATTACTAGCAACCAATCTCCTTCCAAGAGCCATCAGATGTTTTCGGAATACGCTTCAATGTCACTGGCATTGGAGATCTACAGGCACCTATCAATCTGACCATGGCGCATTCTGCATTGTTTAATTCTATTTATAGTTTTCTCAAGCAGCACACTGTACATCGCTCGAGGTACGCTGACAAGCTGTAAGAACACAGCATCCTAGATGCTGAAGCAGTGTCCCCAAAGCCAACATTGGTATGTCAGCAGCACATCCCGCAGGACACATCAACAGTTCCAAAACTGTGTCTGGAGATTGCACCTTATCTCTTCAGAACCGTCAAGGAATGAGGGTATTTGGTTCTTTTACCTCTTTCCCATTCCACACAAAGAGGTCTGCTCCATCAGCCAGCCCGATGCCATCCAGTGTCAGCTCATCTCCTAAAAATGAACAAATCATCAAGTTCTTCCCCTCCGGCAAAACAGAGAAGCAGGGTCAGCTGGTAAACCGAAATACGCTGGCACATCCTACTCTGGCTCAAGTCTATCTCTACAAAAACTGCTGTGCAATCAGCACTTACAGGGGGTAAGTTCAGGTTCCTCTTGCTACGTGAGCGAACCCAAGCAGGTGCATACCCCTATAGCAGCCTCACTGAGTACAGAGAGCCGCAGCACGAAGGTTTCAATTCAGTTTCCCTTGCAAACCGAGGCCCAGGTCAGCACTTGGCAAAGCTGCTCGGTCAGGATTATCTACGTGACATTTAACAGTGAATTGATAGATTTAAAACAAAAAGGCTGGATTTAATAAACGAGCTACGTACTGTACGTTCCAAGCCTGTTCTCTGCAATACTAATGCCCACGCTGCAGTTTCTTTTACCTTCCTATTGTAAATCAAATTTGGATTTTTTACAAGTTGTTGTCATTTAAAGAACTGTACTAGCAGCTGGAAGAATATTTACATATTTAATAGCTATGAGTGCCTCTCTGTTTTGATGTCAACATCATGGAACATTGAGTTATGTTCCGGTAGAACCCTGAATTTCAAACAGGCCACAAAGACCATAAAATTTAAAAATGGCTAAGTCAGCCTTCAAAGACAAACACCTAGAATTGCATAACGGTGCAAAGCTGGAGACAGAACTCATGATTTTAAAATACCAAGGTACTCTTAATAAATTAATGCAATGTAAGCCTTTTTCTTTACAAAATTCCTACTTCAGCTTAAGTCTAACCTACATTTTTCTTTCATGTCACCCTGGCTACTCTCTTCTATCCTCTCCTCTACTGACTAGGTAAACACTACGAAAACAAACATTCATCAGCAAATCAAGGTCAAAATACAGATGGATATATTTTTGTCAGCAAACGTGTTTAACTTGCACAAGATCTGCAGTCTTACTGCACTTCACAAAAAAGATTACATACGAAGGTCTCAAAACCCCTCATTTCACTTAGAAGAGGGTCCTACATAATAGCAGTGGACTTGCATGTAAGTTTGAGTTTGAAGAGCATTCAGTAACACACTTCTCCGAGATGTTTTACATATGAAATCCTCGCTGTCTGCAGTAAATACAACACATAAATAATGCGGAAACAATGTATGTAGTAGTCTTACCATCAAGTATCTGGTAAAGATGCAGTCCTGCTGGTAAAGACTTGGCAACACTGAGAATCATGTCTCCTTCCCAAGACTCCAACATCTAATTGGGAAGAATAAAAAAGTAAGTTTATATAAAACAGCAGCAACAACTCACATCACTCAAAATTACAACTTTGCTGAAAGCTGTTACAGCCTGGCAGCCAAGCTCGCTTTGACACTTAGATCGCCGATATTTATTTCGACAAGTCCAATAACACAGAAAACAGACAAGCATTTAGGACTTGGCCTGTCAGACTAGTCATCAGACAGACGAAAACAGTTTCAACTGGATGCCAACCAAAGGTTGTGAGGTACAGGAAAAGCAAACAGTGTTTCCTGACATTAAGTTAGCTTTGATTTAGATCTCTATAAAAAAAGCGTTTTACAAAATATCATATTCCTTTAATGTAGTAGAGAATAAATGCAACTATACTACATTCAATGTTTAAGCTAAATATTTAACTATTTTTTTCCTAAACTACATTGATTATTTCCTGTTAAGGCCAGCTAGCTCACTGAAAATACGGACAAATCTGTCATAAACTGAAATGTTAAGAATAAGCCTGGAGTTCTGCAAAGCATCAATCCATGCTGATGTACACGCTGCCCAAATATAAATAATTAGCTTACAAGAGCTTTAAAGTCTACACAACTCAAATTTCATCAATTTCATGGTTTCTTCAATACTTTGAGAACCAATGTTTCCTTCCGTGTGAACCCATATAATTTTTAGCCTCCTGAAACTACATTAACTGTTGAAAATTTCTCAAAGTTAAAATTGCAGCATAAATACACATGTAAATGTTGTTGCAGCTCAAGTAAAAACAAAGTGTTTGAGTTCATTTAATATAGCAAATACCTGGAATACCGACTGTCGAAGGTCTCCTAGCGTTTTTCTTCTATCAATAGTCAAATCCACGACACTCTCTTTCCAAGTAAGTGAAGGATGCAAAGCCCCATTGTGAAATTTATAACATGAGCTCAAATGGAGATGTAAATCAATGCCATTGTTTGCCGAGTCACATTCCGCTCTTTGAAAGAATGACACAATAATAAACCGGTGAATTTAGCACTGACAAACGGCTAGCTTATCTCAGAGATGCTTCTGTGCGGTTGTCCTGGAACCGATACCCTCATGACTAAATTCACTGTCACGTTCCCCCCTCCATCAAGGGGTATGCAAAGAGGCGGTCAAAGATGCCAGCGATTTACACGGTGTGCAACGCAGAGCTAGCGTAGACATCCTCCTCACAAGCACTGTGTTCTGTGTGTTTCTACACTTGCTTCTAACTTTGCTAAACAGAATGACAAGTTGTATCTCTAGGGATGTGGAGATTATAGGTTTGTTGGTTTTGGTTTTTCCCCCCCCCTCAGGCTGTGTTGCAGATCGGTACTCTCTGTTGAAATGCAGAGGCAGAAAAACTGCATGGAAACTGAGTCAGGACAGACACAGCCATGCCTTCCTCCTTCATACCTGTATCCAGTTCTAGTAGCTGAATGTAGCAGCAAATACACCATTTAAAAAAAAAATCAAGGAGTGAAATTTGCACAGGACTGAGATATCACACAAGTCTTGTGTCTGTATTTTGATAGCTTAACTGTGATTCAGGTGTATCATCAGTTCTGGGTGTTCCTCAACCGAAGGAAAAGTTTCAACCAACCTGAATACCTCCATGTTTCTGGCAAAAGATACCGTTTATCTGTTGTTTCACAGCAAAGCAAGTCATTCCCCCTTCTCCCAGTGGAGAACGCCCTCGATAAACACAATTAAGATAAAGTATTCCGTTCTCCTTCCAGAATTGCACTGATTTTCACAAAAAAAAAAGGGACAATTTTAAACTGTAAGTTTCCCTTGAAATTCTGTAGAATGCCTAGTTACGCTATTAACAGGGCAGCAGGGAACCAGTAAAGGCGGAATCTGGACATACAAGTTGTATTCCTCGATTAACCTCTATGACACTGAATCATTTTAGTATCTGGCTCTACTCAATGAGTTTCTTTCGTTTTACACCACTTTGGAGATCTGCAGATTAAGAATGCTGTTTAAGAGATCGGTACAGTTACATTAATATACCTCTTTTTTTGCAGCTCAGTATTAGCAGCATTCATTTCATTCAGAAGGTGTTCAGGAATTTGGTACCTTGGATTTCCTCGCGCTGCAACAAATAATATAGGCTAGTTTGGCCTCAGCTGCTTAAAATGTGTTTTGGCAAACAAGAAAAGTGATCAAGTTGAGACATTACAGTAAGGTAATCATTGAAAATTCAGAGCAATAACGTTGCATCCTTTCGTAATAAGAGAAAATTAAACTGCAAGATGATACAAAGAACAAACAAGCGCTTTTACTTCTTCCCATCAATCTTT